TATATGATCCAAAAGTGACGGCTTTCTATAATCGTATAGATAAGTTTGGCTTGTTGGGAATTATTTCTATTATTTTTTGTCCTTCTTGTCAGTTTAAAACCTACCACAATCAGATTTTTTCACTAAGTGCCGCTTAAGAGTTATTAAAACCAAGCACAGGTGAGAGGTTTTTTGTCTCAATGTAATCAATAGAAGGGTACTTTCGGTTGGTCATTTTTATTCTTATTGTCTTATTATTTTGTGGGGCCATTGTTGTAGTGTATTTTTTGTTTTGTACGGCAGTATCGTTTGCACTTATTAGAAGATTGTTTAGAAGAGGGGTTAAGGGACTATTATCTTGTTTATTTGAATTGCTATTATTTTGCTTGTCTGGGTCCTGGAGGTTGGTGAAGTCAAAATCATGATTGTGACTTCTGTTGGTGGTGCTGTCCTGGTTTCCCTGTCTTTGTTGAGTTGGGGTTCTGTTTTTGCTGTTGAGTAATAAAAGTGTCTAATCGTTTATTCATCTTACTAATCAGGTCCATTTGTGTTGTGGTTGTCTGATTAATGTATGACTTGATGGTGCAGATAATTGCATTTGACGATGCTTGGCAGGCTGCATCTATATACGCTTTTGTATTAGCATCGATGTTAGAGATATCGATGCTTAAAGCCGTATTATTTCCATTATTGCCCTGATTATTATTGTTCACGGCGCTGCTTGTCACATGTGGGATTGAGCTTCTATCCATGCTTGTGCGCAGAATCTAAAGTGAAATTTGATGCTTTCTGGTTAGAGTTAGTTTGAGCTAGAGGTTCGTATTTATAGGCTAATTTTTTTTAGCGGCTGGTGAGTGGCTTGTAGATCACTTGCCCCTGATAGGTGGGCTAAGCAAGTGATCTGATTCGGGTCATGTTGTACTTAGCCCGGTTTTTCGAACTGTTGACCCCTGTCAACTTCTAATAATCGAAGCAATTACTATAGTATACTTTGTCGATTATTACGACATTTTCTAGGATTAGCTTATACTTTGCATCTTGCAAGATAGTCAATTTGAGTCTAATTCAATATATATATAGAGCGATATTCTTGTAAATAAGGAAGATAGATTTTTGAGTAGTACTTTGGGTAGTACTTCTTGGTTTGGTAGAAATAGAGAAAATTGGTTAGTCAGCCCTATAAAAAAAAATCTCTTGAAATTGTTCGGAAAATTCTAAAATTATCCAATTTTTTGTTCAGAAAATCGACTCCGTTCCGAATATTTTAAAGGATGTTTATTGGATGTTCATGTTTTGATATATTTTTTATAAATCTTTTATGCATTTTTTATACGATAATTTTTAATCAACAATTTTCTATTTTTACATCCCGTACAAACATCGATATGAAAACAATACAAAAATAGACCCTGTTCGGAAAATCGACTCCGTTCCGAACATTTTTTTGGACAATGCCTACAATAACTGAACAAACTTTTTTTATAGGGCAGTTGTAGGTCTTGGTTACTTTTAGTGTCTTGCATATATATAATAAATACTTAGTGTCTTCTCTTTAATGTTTATAACCTTGAGTTAAATTGGTAACGATATAAGAAAAGTCCCTTCCTGGCCATAACAATATCCATATATTTATAAATAAATTTCTGCATGCTATTTTTTTCATGTAATATAATGTAATTGTGTTTATTCAAATTAAATCTTAGTCGACAACTCCCTACCAATCATGATCATAAATTGCCGGATAATACTATTATTGGGAAAATTTGCGAATACAGAAATTTGGCTAATGATTGGCTGCATGTGTTTTGTATCAGCATTGTGAGGTTATCAGATTCAAAACATCATAAACTATTAAAGAAACAAACTTGGTAGATTAATTCTTTATCAGATTAGATATTATCGATTTTGAAGGGATTATTGGTTTTTGGAATTTAACAGTAGTTTATACTGTTTTCAACCCTATGTATATCAGTTTTGGGAGGCTAGACAGTATTATACTCTCTACTTAAATTAACTAACCTAAAATTGTATAGATTGCTAACACTTGCACAAAAAATCGATTAATTTAATATATTTTTCACCAGAAAATATGAATTTCATTTTACCCGTTAAATAATAATAAAGCATATGTGGTGAGCAGGCTTTATATCAGAATCGAGATATCAGCTTTGAAACCTAGATTTATATAGCAAAATTGGTTTAACACATCATTTTTAAGAGAAACCTTTTATATTTATATGGCTTAGAGCAAAATCAATGATAAGAATTCTAAGCAGTAACAATGAATATCAATTTCTAAAGTAGCAATGATCTGAGATAGACTAACTAGGATAGATTAGTGGAGCAACCAAATTCAGCAGATCGATCAAACTTTAGAGCCAGAATAGGCCGGAATTGATAAATTTCTCCCCAAATCATCCAAAATTCAACTAATAAAATGGTAGCCCACGTACTGTACTAAGTAAAGTTGCTCAGATGATAATTTTGCTATAATAGGGGCTGGTATTTTTGCTTTTACTGAAGAAAAGTAAAGGAAGTAGTCTAGTGTAGTGTGAAGAGGCCTTTATTCAAGTAATCAGAGCTTATCTCCTGGAAACTATTACGTAGAGTATATATATTATAATAAGTATACATTATTGGGCAAAAATTGTTGTATAACGGCAATTTGCCCAATAATAGTGTTATCCGGCAATTTATGATCATGGCACGATCAACTCCTGGCCAATAAATACTTTGATCTAAAAAAAAAAAGATAAATCAGTAAAAAAAAACAAATTACTGTACACTCTTTAAAGCGAAAAAAAATTTTTTTTAAAGCACTCGTATTCTTAAAATATTTTCTTGTTCCTTGTCTTTTTTTTGCCTCAAATATTTTTCTGTTGTGCTAGAAGTTCAGGGTCATCAAAAGGTTCTAATCTGTGAAATTTGGAGGTTGCCAGTTTGAAGGTCGGCCATGGGAATTTGCACTGCATAAAGGTTCAAAAGTACAACACATGCCAGAAGCCTAATAAGAGTTCATTACAAGATTACGAAGAAAAAAAAAACATTTAAAGGTTTTTTTACAATGCCCAAATCCAAATCTGTTATTACGAAGGTGAATAAAGCCAAGGTAATTTTTAATCCTAATTTGTCTGTATTGTACTAGCTTCTAAAAAAGACTTGCTAACATATTTTTCTTGCAAGTTAAGTATATAGAACCATCAACAGAGGAACTTGACACAATACAGAAAAATGCAAAAGTGAAAGCCACCCATAAGGCTACACAACAGTGGATAAATCTATTAGAAGAATTCCATTCTGATGTCAGATTTGAAAGCAAAATTGAGGAAGTGAGCTCCAAGAAGGTCTTAGAAGACCAATTGTCTAAGTTTATCTGTGCAATGTAGTGACGTGATGGTGGTGAATACCATGCTAGCTCAGTAAGAAGTTGCTTGGTGGCAATTTGGTGTTACCTTAATCAGCACTCCGTTATGGAGAAACCAGTCGATATACTCAATCCGAAGGTGTACTTCGATTTAAATCAAGTTGTTTATAGAAAACTGAAAAATCTTTCTGCGAAAGGCTTTGGTGAAAAAACGGGAGCAGATGGACTAACCATGAATGAGGTTGAACAGATTCTTGACCACCCTACGATGCAACGCAATAGCCCAAATGGATTGTTATGGCAGTTTTTTTTTTTAATTCAATTTTATTAGCATTACGAGAGGAGAACATATAAGCCTTGAAATTAACAATTTTATTAAAAGATATGATAGAAGAATCGATGTTAAATTGTATTAGTCCAAGACCAACCAGCGGGGGCTTAAGGATTATAATGCACAAGCGGAAGTAATCAGCTTGCCAAATATCAAAGATATTATCAATGATTATGAATTTTATTTAAGTAACCGTCCAGTAACTGCAGTAACTAATTTTTATTTGAAACCTTTTACTACGAATTCAGGTAAAGTATTTATTGTTTTTTTTTGTTTTGTTATTTAAATTTGTATTTATATTTCATTATTGTAAAAAGAAAAGTTAATTCTGATATAATG